TAATTTTAATAGTAATTACATATTTTTTCTAAATAGACTCATGTACTAGTGTGTGGACAAAGTGTGTGGACATTTCTAAGGGGCATAGACACCTTGTACTTCGTATGTATCAGATGTTTAACAGCAGTGCAGAGCAGAAATGAGCTATAATGAAGGGCCTTGGGATCCTCACTGGAAGAAGTTTCCAAGCTGCTTGCCAGCTTCTTGGTAAGTGTATTGTAACAACAATTCAATTTTATCTCAAAAATAGGATGCTGGTTACACGCAAAGCTTTAGATATTCCCCTGATCCCTTGATAACAGTAAACAGGAATACATTTCTCAACAAGTTCATTTGTTTATTTTCTTCATTCAACAAACTTTTTTTTTTTTTTTTTTAAATTACTAACTCTGGGCCAAATGTAGAGTTCGCCCCTTCCTTTCAGTTTCCACATTCTATGTCAGAGATAAATATGTACAAATATTAATAGTAAAGGCTACAGGGTGTTACCTATAAAGTGCCAGGAAGGGAATGCTGAAAAACCCAGCTGTAGGTAAACTGGAAGGAAACCAGGCTGTGATGCTGTGGACGGTAAATTCGTGAGAGGTGCAAGGACCTGAGGGTCTCAGTCTAGAATCTGAGCAGCGGAGTTCGTGATCGCAGGCATGGGTGGCGGGAAAAGGAGCTCAGGGCGTTCAGGGAAGGCCAGAGCGGTGGGATCCCATCCACCTGAGGGTCTAAGTTTAGCAACTGTATTTCTGTGTCTTCTGGGGTTAGGCTACTGTGGTTGCTTTGCTGCATTCAGGTTTCCAAATTGGTGGATGCTTCTGAGACAACGTGTGGGGGTGTTAGCAGACAGAAAAGAAAACAGATTTTGTTCTGTTCTCCTCTTTCTTCCCGTGGTTCCCAGAAGTTGGGGTTCTGTGACCAATTGTTTTTATTCACCCCGAGCCCCATGCTCACTGACAGAGTGTGTCTTGCTGCGTAACTGGCAAAGCCCTCTTACTATCCCTCTCTAGCCTAAAACATTAAATCAGGTTTAAAACGTTCTATTCTGCCTACCGAGCTCAGCTTTGGACCCCCTGAAGTGCCCTGCACCAGCTATATTCTCTCCTGTAACGATGGGTCCCACTCACAACTACCCACAACCGGGGGAAGGGCCCGGCGACACCTTGTACTTGTCATTAAAACCAGCAAGGGCTGCTTTCTGCAGGTTTGCCATCTTGGATAGCCAAGACCATCTGGACCAAAAGAGCCAGCACTACGCAGATCACGTAAAGGGCACACGCAGACTGCACCCCAGAAATGGTTATTGAAAGGCTTTTAACGAGTCAAACATAATGGGTGCCATTCAAAGATTGTCACCACCCTGTCACTTTGTCAAGAATGCTATTACAACCCGAGGATGCCAATAAACTAGGGTGAAATTAGCCTTGTCAAAGGGAAAATGGATGTGCAGTGTTTCTGCACTGGGTACAGCTTTCTTACAGGAACGTGGTGTGTAAATCAAAATTCCATTTAGATGCTAGAGAGTAATGATCTTTTCACCTTCCTCCAGTTTCCCTCACTCTTACTTTTTTCCCTCCTGTTTAACCCCCACACGGAGACGCTGAATGTTCTCCTCTAGAATTTCACTGCATAGGAGGGGGGACATAAAGATTTCTGCCCGGGTGGAAGCTCCGAAAAACACCTGTAGGGTCATTTTACAAATGGAATCACGCAGAAGCAGTGCCTCCTGCTGGGTAATAGCACGGAGCCTTTCAATCACAGAAATTAGAGGCAGGTGACCTGTCAGGTCACTCTTGCAGCAGCTTTATGTGCTTAGTGTGAAATGACACAGCAGCCAAGCATTTCCCAGGGAGACTGGCGCTCGGTAATGATCCCGCCGAGAAGATGCCGCTGGGAGCCAGCCAGCCTTTCTCTTGCCTAATTTCACATTGTTCTGCTTGGCTGCAGCCTTTGAAAGTGCAACCACGCTTTCTGTTGCCCTTCTGGCTTTAAAACCTCCGACCTTGGAACAGGGCATTATCATTTTCTTTCCTTGTAGTTATTTGAGCCAAGCTGTGCAAACTTCCTCTTAAAATACTGCCTCATACATTAAAGTCCGTTGCTTTCCTAAAACACACACACACACACACACACACACACATTGAACTCCCATACACTCTATTTCAGGACCTATCCTATATTATAAAAGGCTACTATGCAAATTGACCGAATGGCAGAATGATGGGTTGTTATGATGCACACTGATCAGCAGGGGGCAGATGCTCAATGAAGGAGCTGCCCCCTGGTTGTCAGTGAGTTCCCACAGGGGGAGAGCTGCTCAGCCGGAAGTGAGGCTCACAGCTGGTGACCTCAGTGGTGGTGGTGGGAGCCTCTTCCACCTTCGAGGCAGCACTAGGATGTCTGACATTCCCCAAGGGCTCATGAATTTCGTGCACCAGCCCTCTAGTGTTTCTTATAATGTGTGTGTGTGTGTGTGTGTGTGTGTGTGTGTGTGTCTGTGTGTTTATAGAATTAAGGAATTTTGTCAATTCTTATTGAAGAAAATGAAGATGGTGCTCAAGTCAGTTTGTAGACCTCACAATTTCACCCAGATTTGGAGAAATTTGCTGCCAGCTCCTAGCACCATGAATTTGATTTCTCCAAGCCATCATAGAATGTAATGTCCCACCAGTCTTCCTGGGTTAGGAGGATGTACAAATATATGTCTGAATAACACTGTCGTTGAATACCCCCTCTTTCTAGGCAAAACCTGCAAAGATCTATGTGACTGATCCCTGAATAACTTGCTTCATCTATAGTATTTTGAAAACGCCATGTAATCACCATCTCCTGTGAGATCACACTGCACATTTTGCAGTTATAAAGCTCTCATGTCTCCTAGTTTGGAAATGTAAAGATAATCTTCACCCAAGATGTGTGGAGTGGGGGAAAGGTCTCAATTGAATCTTAAAGACCTGATGTCATTCCATCCTTTAAGGTGCCCAGGCTCTTGTCATTATTTCTGCTGCTCCCACCACCCACACCACCAGGCTGGCCTCAGGTGACCGACAGCTCACTGCTTAACATCTCAACTCCACCTGGACTGTAGTTTTCCCCAAAATGCTCCAGGCAAGGCTATGATGGCTCAACAAGACAGTAGTAAAGGTTTGGAGCAGCCTAGGGCCATCCACAGGGAGAACCTGTCATGTAGATTTATAACTTGAGTTCTTGGAATTGTGGGTTTCATTCCATCCTAGTTTTTGACCTGTCTCTATAACTGCAAAATGAGCTCAAAATGGTCCTGATCTGCTTGATGAGATACTGAGACCACAGACCAAAACTGCAAGTCATGCAGCCCGGGCATGTGCAGAAGAGATGTGACGTCAGCTGCACCCAAACCAAAGTCTCACCTCTGCCTCCACGGAACCAAAGCACCAAACAGAACCGGAACTTGAACACCAGAACCTTTTCAGATGTGAAGAGTCCGCTTCTGGAAAGATCCAGTGCTGAGGCCATTTCCCATAAATAGCTCAGCTCCAAGGTCCCCCATCAGCACCTCCACACACCTGCTCCCCCTAAACTCTTATAAACCCCTAACAAGAAGGATTTGAGGCACCATCAAGTCTTCCATCTTCCCGGTTGCCAACTTCTCTATCAGTAAATGTGTCTTTACTCCAAACTCTGACTTTTCCTGGAGCACACCAACTGAAAAATCTTCTGTTTCACCCAGGTGTCCAAAGTGTAGGCATTCTGATGCCTCAGACTTCACATATCCGAACTGAGCAGGAGTGATGCTGTGGAGAACAGTTGCTTAACCCGCCCTGGGAGACCTGAATGAGATGGGATCTAGACGCTGTTGCCCAGGCCTGGCTGTTAAATAGTGACCTTAAGCTTTTGTGACTTCTTCTCTGAGAGGATCAGAATATTTGGGGGCCAATTAAAACAAACGCACACTAAAATCCCAACAAGCTTGTCTCAGTTCTCACTTCTTCACAAGAAGAGAGGGAAGAGGGGAGGGGAGAGATGAGCAGGGAGAAATGGCCAGTGGGTCTGGAGAGAGAAGGAGAGAGATAATTGTTCTGAGTGCTTACCACGCAAGCACATACTTGATGCACATTATCTCATTTACTCATTACTGCAAAGGTCTGTCTGACTCCCTGGCTCATAGCCTTCCATACACACATCTTTGCAAAGATATGCGATTAATGAGACAATAATGTTGGTATAAAGTGTTTCAATTTCCTTTGAGAAAAAAAAAGCCATAAAATTTTATTGTTATTGTTACTCTTATTATTGATGCTCAATGAGTGCTTCAGGGATGCCCATGATGTAACTAATATTACTCTCATTTATTTCATTTAGTGAAGTAAAGTCTAAAGACAAGAATGAGCATATTTGTTGGGCTTTAGATTTAGCCAGTTACCTAGCTCAATTGCAAATTTTTGCAGATCAACAAACTCAGGAACTAAGTCTACAGCCAAGGTCACGGCACTGTAACCCAGGGGCGTCCTCCCTCCAATGCTGGGTTCTCCCACAGAGCAAGGAGGGGTGGATGAAAAGGGAAGGCCTGCCACATGGAGCCTTCTCAGCCTGTAATTGTTAAGGAAAGAATGTGGCCCTCATTCCTCTACTTGTTTGTGGGAGTACAAATGGAATCAGTTCAGATAATTTGCTTCTCCAAGGGCAGGCATTTTTTCTCTCTTTTCAATGAAAGGGAGTTAATTGTGTTAATTATGAAACACAAAATTATGTGAAGGACAGAAAGCCGTTGTAAAAGGCCACGGAGTTATGCACATGTTCAAGCACAAACAAGAACCCTGGCATGACTTATTTTAATTTGTCCATTTTCACATGTCTCTATATTGGGAAATAATCTGCTTCCTTTCCAAAACTGCATTTATGCTGAATAACCAGCAGCTGGAACTTTAATTTGAGATCAGAAGAATGAGGATCTGGCCTGCATTCTTAATGTGGCCATTATGTTTAATTTTCAGTTGCCTGAGTTGGACTTTATTACATTCAGATTTTCTTCAGTGTGCTCTACGTTTTTTATTTAGTGGAATTCTGCCTTTGTTTGCTCCCTTGTCCTGACTGGACCTTAAGCGGAAAAGAATGTCCATATGAATGATATGATCAGTTTCATGTTTGTAGGAAAGAAAACTGAATCCCTGAGAAATCAAGTGTCTTAGCCAAGGCCCCTCAGTCAGTCAGCTGTGCTGGGGTTTAATCCAGGCCCCCTTCCAGCAGCATCCCCCACAGCATTGACTTTAAACTTGGATATAGAAACTTTGCATTTATTTTACCTTGAGTTTCTCTAATCTTTTCCCTAAATGAACAGCAAAAAGGAGGGAGAAGTTCTCGGCTGGCTGTCACCAGGACAGGGAAGGTGGAAAGCACCTAGCGGCCTTGGCTGTTCTCTGTGGCCCTGTGTGGGCTCCTTTGTGGAAGAGCAAATTGAAGCCCAGGCAGAGCATTGAGGCTGCTGACCGTGGCTATTAGGTGGCCTGACTTATGTCTGGAGGTAGAAACTCATTGATTAATGCAAAATGTGCAAGAGCAAATTATTTCTTCACTGTAATCCCTAAGGCATTTTTCTACTCCCTCCCTCCAAAGTTCTTATGTTTCTTTAAATAAAAGCTGATCAATGTCATTAAGAGATAAGAACAAAGCTTGGTAGAATCATTGAAGGGAGCATGAAGCTTCCCTGGGGGAGGCAGGCGAGGCCTGCAGAGGTGTGAGCACTCAGGTTGGCTCTGAAAGGATAACAGACTCTGGGGGCAGAGGTGGGAAAAGCCTTCAGGCTGAGGAAGAACTGGATGTGACAGGACCTCGGAGTGTTTGTTGAACTTTTAGAAGCTCGGTGGCAGGAGCACTGAGCAAAGTGTCAGGAGACAGTATAAGGTGAGACCAGGGTTTGGAAAATCTGGTACATCATACTGGAGAGTGTAGGTTTTATTCTGTAGGCAGCATGTAACAGAGGCTTTCAACCTGAAAAAAAAAAAAAGATCAACCAAGATCTTTTTTTTTTCTTTCTTTTGAATGAAAGAAACCTAGAGATGATACACATCATGACCTTGACAGAGAACCTAGTTGGAGAGATGTGATGAGGACCTGCAGTGTTAACAGAGATGGGGGCAGAGGCTCCGGAAGAATATGCGTAGATTGATGGGGGTGGGGGGGAAGGGGGAGTTGAAAGTAGGACTGAGGTTCCCATTCAATTAATTTGAGAACACAGATGCAGGTAAGGTTTTCATTTATTCAACACACCTTTCACTGACCATCTTCCACATTCTGGGCACTGCTTAGAATGACTGAGAAATAGTTCCTACCATCAAGAATCTCAATTCTTGTTAGCCTATAATCTAGTCACTGACCCTTCCTTAATTATCTGCTCTTGCAAGACCTGTTTACCTAAATACTGACATTTTACAGAAGCTATAAACCATGAACCATACACAACCCCCATAGAGGGTTATCAGTGTTGGCACCAGGCCAGGCCTTTAGGTGTTTTTTGCAAAGTACATAAAAGTCTGATCCTTATTTGGGGGACAAAGAAACCAAAAAGAAAGCTTCCTCCATATTGGTTTGCTCAGGATTTGGAAAGAGACTCCCCTGAGTAACTGTACTAGTAAATCTGGAAATAAATGTGTTTCCCCCCCCCCCCCCCCCCGGCCCCCCCCCCCCCCCGTATCTCTGGATACTCCTGTGTACTTTTCAGTCGCCTGGTAAATTCTGTAAAAAGGACATGCTTCCTGGTTTGCAGATGGCAGTCTTCTCTTATATCCTCACATGGTGGAGTGGAGAGCAGACAGAGAGGAAGTAAACCTCTTTTGTAATGTCTTCTTTTAAGGCCACTAATCCCATTCATAAGCGCTCCACCTTCGTGACCAACCAAAGGCCCACCTCCTATTATAATCACAACGAGGGTTTAGGATTCCAACCTGTGAATCTAGGAGGACACAAACATTCAATTCATAAAAAACACTTTTCTAAATATTTTACATGAATAACCTGTTTGTATTTTTATAACAATCTTCAGGGTGCTATTATAATCCCCACTTTACATGAGAGAAAGTGAAACACAGACAGGCTAGGTAGCTGTCCCGAGCCACGGAACCGGTAGTGAAGAGAGTGACATTTTAACAGGTGTGTGGCCCCAGTGACACTAGACACACTTCCTCTCTAATGGATATGTATGTGGGCATTCTGCGTGTGGAGGCAGGCTTGTTACAAATTTTGTTCTGGATGCTAATTTGGAGTAGCACCATATTAAAGTTTATTTTTCCAGGAGACTATTAGAAATTTTGATTTAGAAGCTGGAAAATAGGTGAGAACTAAAAATATAATTATAATGTGTATGTAAGGAAAACAGTGGGAGTGTATGTCCAAGGGAGATTATTTGGCTCCAGATTAGATGATCCTAGTCTGGGATTCCTAACACACAGGGTGAGTTTACAAAGGACAATCCAAGAAATGAAGGAGGAGGAATGTCCCAGGGTTACTAGGCAGGGGAGAGTGTGGGATACAGACATCAGGACAGAGTTTCTAGAAAGAGGGAGTGAGGGTGAACAATTGTCTGATCACCTGGCATTAACAGACTGTCACTTTCTTTGGTCTGTAAACTACCTTCTACAACCAGAAATCATCAGTCACTCTTAGAATGACCTTTTATTTTCAACCTTTTACAATGTAACTATCTTTGCAACAATAAAAATTGTTCTAAAGGAAACAACAATAATCTCCCAATAGCTAAATTCCATCACCTATTTTCAGTCCTACCCAACTTCTCTGAGCATTTGTAATGGACAATTTTCCATTGAATAAAGAAGCTTCTAGAACAAAGAAAGCTGTAGTCTGTTAATGCCAGGTCATCAAACAGCATTTAGGAAATCTTTTTTTTTAGGGGGTGGGTGGGAGGGGGGGTAGACAGAACAGACCATTGCAGCTACCATCCTTACAAGGGGACAAGTTAGCTCACAGATTTGGGATGGTCAGTCACAGAGCCTATTAGTTTTACTTCTCCTTCATTACATAGCAACTTAGTAATGTGTCCACAATGCATTTTTCCTCATTAATGCATTCATTTATCCAATAAGCAGAGCTAAGCACTTGTTAGTGCTATGTGTGCACACTGTATGCACGTGCAGGTGTGGGTGTGTGTTCAGGGGATGGGAGAGGAAATGGTGTTGGGAGGGAAGGCTGACCTGGGAAGCCTGCCAGGCAGAGGGATCCCCGTTTTTAAACTGTGTCAGTGCAGCGAGGTAGGGAGTTGTGGGACGTAATGTTATTCCTTGCAGAGGCCAAAATCAAGACTCGCTGATAGGGACTAGTTTGAATCAAATTTTGTTTCAGAAACGTTTAAAAACTATGTATGTCCTACGTGTTAATATTAGTACTAGTGATACTGACATGTCTCATGCTCTCCTTCCTGAAAACATGCAGCATCATCATATTGAAGCAGGATTTTTGGACTGGAACACGGGGTGTTCCCTGGGCAGGATGTCCTGGATTCTTTGTCTGCCGGAGCCAGAGAATGAATCCACAGACAGGAGGTGTATAGCAAAGGTGGAGATTTATTGAAGAACAAGTACAGTCTCCCAGGAGGGGAAAGGGAGAGTCCCACAGCAGACTCCCACATTCAGAAGGGGAAAGAGTCCCACAGAACTGATTCCCTTGTAGGGAAGGGGGGAGAGTCCCACTGAGTGCCTTTCCCCCGTGGCTTATAAAAGCTGCAGATCCTGGTGCCTTGATATTCCCCCTGATTGGTCACTATTCCCTTGGACTGGTTACTATAGTAACCAGAGCTCAAAGGTTGAACTTCACATGGGACTTGTGAGGTTCTCCCCACTCTTTCCTTATTATCTTCCTATTTCCTTTGGGCTTTCTTCTTCTCCTTCTGGATGCAGGGCTTCCTTCTCTTTATTTTGTAAAATACAGACCTTTTACTGTCCCCAGCTCCCCCATTCCATGGAAATGTACCTGTTACAGCTTTTCAGCTTCCCTATCCTATGGAAATATACCTTCTGCTGCTCTAAGGCACTGTGCTTCTTCCATGGTCCTCTTTATTTCTAAAATTTCCTAAACCTATCTCCCCCCTTCCACCCCCCCCAAAAAAAATTCCTGTTTCAATATTTATGAATGTGGGATGCGTATGCTATACAAAAATAATTTTATTAGCAAGTGTTTGTGCACTGAAACCACTATTTCCATATTTTATATCTTTTATTCTTTCTTAACGGTGACAGCTGCGCACGGTGCATGAAGATGGGTTGTCTCACCTGCGAAGCTCTGACGGAGCTGGCAGGAGGGAGAGCAGATTTCTCCTGGATGTGACTGCCTGGGCCGCCTGGGAAGCCAGCACTGCCCAGTTGAGAGAAGGGCTAAGGCAGTGGACACAGCGCTCGGCCTGACACAACAATCCTCTGCCAGGGAGGAGAATGGGAAAAACACAGGAAAGAAGTCAGAGGCAGAGGTGGAGTGAATGGGAAGCGAGGGAGGGAAGAGGAGGAGGCCAGCAGGGCTGGGTAGGGAGTGGAGGCTCCAGTAAGGCCTGTGTGAATGAACTTGGGAGCCTCTTTTGTGTTTGCTTTTCTTATTGTGGCAGGTGGTACCTGAAGGTGACTTTGTCCTAGTTTAAAGCTCACACCAAGCACCATGTGTGCTCTGTTTTCCCGTGACACCCCTCGCGCCTTGAAGACAGAAAACAGGGCTGTGCATTTGGCTGTAGGACCATCAGCAGGAACCAGCAGAAAACACAGGGAATGTTCAGCTTCCAGGTCAGATGGGGGTGGGGTAGGGGTAGTGGGGGTGGGGCGCTGAGATGCTAGAAGGACCCCAAGAATTATGGAGGAAGAAGGAAACCGACTTGCATTTGATGGGGGTCATTCTGTTGTGGGGTTGAACCCTGGGTTCAAAATAAGACCACCAGAAGCTGATGATTGATTAATAAAGCAGGCAAGGATTTATTGAAATAACTGGCCAGGACAGCCTCGAGAGCACCACACACAGGTGGACTCCACACGACTGCACCGTTTCAGGGGTAGGCAGTCCCTTTTAAAGGTTCAAACCACAGGAATTTTCCTTTGTTCCAAATTCTAAATCCTAAAGACTACATTCTAAAGACTGGGGTCAGCCCGCAGGGTCATTGCTAGTCACATCCTGCTGGACATTGGAATGTGGCCCTATCTTGCGATAGCTGATAACACAGAGGCAGAGCTCAGAGGTTATCTACAGTTTCTATCTCTGTAGGTTACTGAGTGAGTGGGAATCAATCTCCTGTGGTCCTGGTCCCAGGCAAGGGAAAATTGCCTTAGCCTCCAGGTCTCCACCTGGAAGCGGATTCTGTGTTTAACCAGGTGCAGGAGCCAGACTAGAGGGGTTAAAAGTCAAACAGCAGTTTTTACCTGAGATGTATATTCTTAATGTCTTATTTCAATTCTAGAAGCTGCGGACCCAGCTCCCCACCCCACTGAAGACGGGGAGAAAGGTGTAGCCCTAGTTTCATGAGAGCACCCCCCTTTACTGGGCAGGGCAGGTGCCTCTGATCTGCCCCGTTAGGACTACACACTCCTCCAGCCCAGGCGCCCTTTCTTCTGTTGTCCACTCCTGACATCCGCCTCCTTACATCCTGGTCAATATGAACAATGCCTGCCTCTGTGAGGCTTTCCACACAGCTTCAAGCAAAATCAGGCACCCGCCTGCAATGGTCCACACCCTCCCCCTCCCCCCTCCCCCCTCCCCTCCCCCAGCTCCCTGTTTCTCAGAAGTTGTCCGTTATGGGTTCCCCAGAGATGATGGGGCCCCGGGGCTGGACATGAGCTCGCTCCCCTCTCTGGCCACGAGGGCAGCCAGGTGCCCAAGGCCTTCCCTGCATCCTTCTGTTTAATCCCCGCTTTCCAGGGGGAGGACACTGGTTAATGTCCGGTGGCTCCGCGGGGTCTGCAGCCGCAGCGCCTGGGGAATCTTTGTTGACCGGGCGAATCAATGAACCCACAGATCACAGCTTTTGGACAAAGGAGGACCTGACGCAGGTGAAGCTAAAGGATTTGAGGACTGTTCGCAAAAGGCATGTCGAGATTGAAAGCATGTCTGCTGAGGCCTTAGGGTGCTTTAATGATAGATGGATCGATGGATTGATTGGCGCAGCCTCCATCTGGCTGCGCTGGGCCTGGGGAGAGGAGGCGGGAGAGGCAGGGGAGACATGCCTCTGAGCCAAGAACAGAGATCACTGCAAAGACAGCGCCCCCCTCCCCCCCTCCCGTCAGCACAGCCAAGGTCTCCCAGGGAATGGCACTGGTTCCTATAGAAATTCAAAAGGCGAGGAGGGAGCTGGCAGGTGCTTTATGCCTGGAGCCTGCTGACCACCACCTGTGCTGGGCCAGGCTGGGGTCTGATGGAAGCAGGCATTGGTTTCTCCCTCGCAGCAAAAGGAACTTAACTGTATTTTAGACGCATACAGTAAAGACGTGGAAAGACTTGCTTATGTCTGAATATTTCACTCATTTATGTCCCTCAGATTCTAGGACTTCCCGGTGGGTGGATAGCAACTTTGCTTAAAAATAGTGTCCTGACAAGGTGAAATCTAGCTCCCGTTATTAGAGGCATTTGACATTTTCAAAGTTGAGTGTTGTAAGAAGGGATTTATTTTAAGCGTATAAAAACCGATGGAAATCTCAGTTGATTATCAATAAAGTGGATCTTGGTAAAAAGTTGTAGTAATCAAGACATGTCGCTGAAACCAGTTTGGCTCAATGGATAGAGCGTCGGCTTGGGGACTGAAAGGTCCCGGGTTCGATTCCGGTCAAGGGCATGTACCTTGGTTGCGGGCATATCCCCAGTAGGGGATGTGCAAGAGGCAGCTGATCGATGACTCTCTCTCTCATCGATGTTTCTAACTATCTCTCTCCCTTCCTCTCTGAATAAAATCAATAAAGTATATTAAAAAAAAAAAAAAAGACATGTAAGCTGCTTAGGTACCGAAAATGCCAAAAATTTTGAGTGGGGCCAGGTTTGCATCCTTCTGCAAACTCCTCTGCACCTTGAGTATCGGAGGGGGGTGGGGTGGGCAGGTGAAGGGTGTTATTGACAGCCCAGTTCCAGATATGCAGCTGCCCGACTTCAGAGCAGGCTTGGGCCACAGCATCTTGGGCAAGTTACTTCCCGTCCCTGTGCCTCAGTTTACTCATTTGGGTAAAGGTGATATCGTAGGTTTCCTGTAATGGTTCAGTAAATTAGGATGCAAAGCACTTAGAATAGTGCCTGTCACAGGAAACCAGCTGATACGTTGAGTTGTTGTTTGTGATGGGGGGAATCAATACGGAAATCTCATGGCAGTCCAAACCTGTGTCTGCTTTTACCAGTCCTGGTTTAAGCATTATGAAGCAGGATAAGTCTCTATCCCACATGTGTCAAACACAAGGCCTGCGGGCCAAATCTGTCCCGCCAGGCCTTGCAATGTGGCCCGCACCGCGCTGTCATCACTGAGCTCCGCTGCGTTTCCATCACAATGACAGTTTATGACTGTTCAGTAAACCATTCGGCCGCGATTTAGGCTGGATTTTAGATTTTGGCCCCTTCTCTGATTGAGTTCGACACCCCTACTCTATCCATTGAGCCACCGTGAAAGGCAGCAGGCACGCAGAAATAAACAGGAGACGGGCCTCATCCTTGAATGACAAGCCGTTCAGACTCAACGACCTGCAATAACCCGTCACTCAGGGCAGATGGGCTAGCTGTTGTTTATGAAACCTCCATGAAATTGTATCTGCTGACGTGAAAATAGCGTCCCATTAATTCTGATGGCATTCTAATTGCTTTCCTCTCAGATGCACCGCGGTCAGGACCAGGAAAGAGCCTGCACTTAGGAACAGCCATCAGCCTTGTCCCTCTTTGAGTCACGTCTCCAGAATGAGGGGCCCTTCGCCACGGTTCTGAAAAATGACTGGAAAGTCCCTACGAAACAGTCCTCTCCTGAGATCAGCAGGTTTGTCATTTCAGAGCAAAATGCCCTTGTTTCTGCAAACTTCCAGCAAAGCAGGCTAGTAAGCAGACTGTGCATTCTATGCAGTGCCACTGCTCTTGCATGGTACCGGGTAAACATGGAAGGACTGATATGTGTCATGCATCCCCATTTGGGCGTTCTATAATTCCGAGTTTTGTGTTGGTAAGAAGAGCTAGACCTGGCAATAACACCACTGGTTGTCTCCATAGTGTTGAGTCAGTGGCTTCTGGGTGGCGGCTCTGAGAACCCGTCTAGTGGCTTTCTCTTACTTGAGAGTCCGCAGGTCCACGTCCTGGCGTTTCAGTGGTGTGGCATGCTCTGTGTCGGGCCAGATCTTGAGTACATTGGCATTGCTGGCCAAGAACTTGTTTCTCACAAAGCAACCCAGCTCCCTTGCCCGTGTCATAATTCAGATACCGTATGCTAAATCTGCTTTTGCCTAAATCTTATTTTCTACTCCCCAAAACATCAAAATGGGATTGTTTTGATACTCTATGACATCGTGATTTTATGCATCGTGCATTTCTGTGAATTTTAAAATTAGTTCCTTTGTAGAATAAGAATATAAGCTACACTGAAGCACAATAAGGCTGAAGACATGCTAAATGCTCCTCACCCTCACAAATACCATAATCACTCCGCAGATCTCCGCGAACAACCTCTCAGCAGGACAGAGAGGCCGTGCAGTTTACGGTCAGCTACCGCTGAGAACGTGCTAAAAGCTTTTTCTCGGACTGCCTGTCATTCTACAACTTGCAGACACGCCATGCTTCAGAAAGGCACTTTCCTGTGGATAATAGCTGAGAGCTTGTCACATGCTAAGTCACTGGAACTATTTCCTACGTGGTTCGGCAGGGAGGAAAATAGCATGCTCTCCCCAAGCCTCTTCTAGCTTCTTCCCGTGCCCCACCATCAGGGCACACTGTGTGGTATCACACAAAGGAAGCTGGGAGTGGTTCAGGTCTCCTGTGATAACTTACTTTGTGCTGTTTTAGTCCCCTCATTAGAGGCTGCTTCTTCCTTAATAGTGGCTTCTTACTGGATCTATCATTCTGTCTCTTTTCTGAGAAAGCATGAAATTATTGCATTAATATTTATTTTGCAAAGAAAAATAAGACATGAGGAAGATATTATGCCAGCATTACATGTGATAATGTGCAGAATCCTAGGTCTGTGTCATCAGCTCCCACAGAGGTTTGATATTTCTTGTCTTATAAATTCTGGGGAACACTGGCTTAAAAATTAGATACCTCCTCCTTCTTCCTGAAGATTAAACAAGCACCCCGGAAATCCTTGTAGCAATGAGCACATCGAACACCTTGATCTTGGTTCCTAATATCATTCTTCAGTAAAAGAAACATAGCTCATTAAGAAATGACTGATTGTAGGGTTTGGGTAGGGGATAAGATGAGTTTAATGATAGAACTCCCAATGACCAAAGTTGAAATTATTTAAACAAAATAATGTTAGATTATAACCCAGATTATAAAATAAATTTTCACAAGTCCATAGGTGATTAAAAGAATAATAAACAAAGGAGAATAGGCAAATCTCTTGGGCAGAAGGATTCCCAATAATTTACACAGATACTCCACTCTTGGTAAAATGGGATATAATTCTCCATTCCTGAAATGGGGATTTGGTATAGTGAGTGTTGAGAGGGGAAAAGGTGGGAAGTATAACTATACAACATCGAAAACTATTGCAGCCACATGGTCAAGGTTAATGTCAACAGCGATGGGTCATGTTGATAGTGTGTATCCAATACATGATGTGATAATGACAATACTTCACCTCTGTGTTCCTTCCCTATGCCCACTACCCCAGTTCTACCCTGAGAAATACATCAGACTAATCCCAATTGAAGGTCATTCTACAAGCTACCTGATTGGTACTTCTCAAAATTCAAGGTCATCAAAGACAAGGAAAGTATGAGGAGCTATTAGATTCCACAAAAGCCTAAGGAGACATGGCAACTAAATGTGATAGGATATCCTGGAAAGGGAAAAGATATTAGGTAAGACTAAGAAAACTTAAATAAAAGTATGACCTTTAGTTGATAATTCTATATTAACATTAGCTCATTGATTGTGACAAATGTACCACACTAATGTTAGACATAAATTTTAGGAAAAACTGAGTCCCAAATCTTCATACACAAATTTAAAATCCAAAATACCTGGAAAAATATATTTTTAAGATTTACAGCAATTTTATTTGGTGCCAAATCATTACCTGGTTTTGTCTCCTTTAATCCCATTCTAGTGGAAATGCTTATACTTTAATTTGTATATATTGTTGTCTGATTTTAGTATACTTCTCTAAAAACATTTCTAATGGGGTTACAAAATATGGTCTATGTATCACATTGCCTTTCTAGAATCCAAAACATTTGGGATTCCAAAATCCATTCTTTCCTCAAGGGTTTTGGTCCAGAACTGTGGACCTCTTGGGGTGTATCCCATTGGGTTTTGTGAGAATTATGGGATTCACATGACAAGCTTAACCCAGTCATAGTCACCTAATATACACCCGATAATCCTATCTAATAGAAGAGTAATATGCAAATTGGCTGCACATTCACTACACCCAAGTCATGACCACCAGACAATCAGGGTGAGTATGCAAATTAACCCAACCAAGATGGCGGCTAATTTGCATATCAAGTCTGCATAGAAAAAAGCCAAATGCTGCAGAAGGGAGGGAAGCTGCGGAGAAGCAAGCAAGTGGGACAGGGGAGACGGAAGGGAGGCAGGCGGGGAGGTGGAGAGTGCAGCAGGAAGCCCTCTTGCAGGAATCGTCCTGCAACGGGCTACTAGTAATTTATTATTATGATCATAATTACAGTTCCCCAAGTCAAACAAATGTTCTCTCTGCATCCTGAAATCCTGGGGGTCTCAGCTATTGGAATGGCTTGGAGGAGATCTGGTTCTCCAAACCAAGTTTTCAATGAGGACCCCTGCCCACTATGTACACATTGGTCACTGAGAGACAGTGGCCTGCCCCTTGCAGTTCTATTTTTGCTTCATGGATGGGATCCGTTCAAGAACGTGACCGATGGCTTGCACTGAGCAGAGCTGAAAGATGTCCCGACGCTGTGGTTTAATTTCTGTCCCACAGGCTGCTTTCCCACAGACTTCAGCGTGCTCTGACGCCTCCTGAATCTGCGGTAAAGTGTATGTTATCGCGCTCTCTCTGCTCCTGTTTGTGAGTGATGGGATTGTGCTCCCACATCTCTCCTTTCCCACAGAGCTACCGGGGAACAGAAGGCGGCCCGAGTCCATCTGCATCATCCTCACCTGTCCTGGTGGCAGTCCAGGTGGCACCAGGTTTAT